ACATCATTTCATCATCTGAACAGCTCTGGGAGTTTATCCCGGTGATCCTTGGTGAATCCAAGATCACAGTGGAAGTTACAATCAAGATGAGACCTGGCCTTTGAGGACTTACAGGGTTTCTGCTTGCATAGAAGCCACTAGCCACACCACAAGGCTCAGGCAGAATCCCCCATTTTCTTCTTAAACTTAATATTTAGCTTCATCTTTTTTTGGGGGGGGGGGGTTGGGGGGAGACGGGGATAGAGCAGAGGAAGAAAGAAACAATCAAAATGAAAGAAAGAGCCCTCGCTGGTTTGGCTCAGTGGATAGATCAATGCCCTGAGGACTGAAGGGTCACGGGCACATGTGTGGGTTGTAGGCTCAATCCTCATAAAGGGCATGCAGGATGCAGCCAATCAATGATTCTCTCTCATCATTGATGTTTCTCTCTCTCTCCCTTTCCCTCCATAAAATCAATAAAAATTAAAGAATCTCTACTGCTCAAAGTTAAGATGTTTTCACATGATCTTGGGAGGGTTTCTAACACAATCAGGCTCCGTGTGCTTTAACTTATAAGTTGGTGCCTCCAAAGCAGAGGCCAGATAGAGTGTAACATTTTCCTTTATTCCTTTTCTGCATGCTCATTTAACAATAGGTTTTTATTCTCCAAAACTGCACTGTCTCATCCCGTAGCCATTTATTCCCATATGGATATTTATAAATTTTAATTAAAATGAAATCAAATGAGAGGTTCAGTTCCTCAGTCACAGCAGCCTTTCAAGGGTTGAGAGGCACATGTGGCTAGTGGCTACCAGAATGGAGAGCACAGATCTAAAACATTCCACCGCTTTCCAGAGCAGAAGTTCTACTGGACAGCACTGATCTAGACAACAGATACTGATGAAGTTTATGCCCCTATCCTCTATGCTCTCATAACATATATATTCAGTGTCCAAGCATTGAAATAGCAATCAAAGATAAATTTACAACTGCTATTAGACCGTTAGCCTTACCAATTAGGTTTTATGATCTAATGATCTTTAACAGTCTCTCTCAAAAGACTCCATTTTCAAAAATAACTGGATTTCTGGAAAGCTAAGCTTGGGAATCTGCAGAAAGGGCTGGAGAAAGCCTCTAGCCACAGTGCCTCAAGGACTCAGAATGTTACATCCTGCTTGCTCACACACTTTCTGCTCTGTGAAGGAAGTCTTAGGGTTTTGTTTTTTGTTGTTGTTGTTGTTGACCCTCTTGCCTCCAACAGCTATACTGTGGCATTAAGGCTAAAAGTTGTCCGACCCAACAGTAATAGTATTGGATGACGGCTCCAAGATTAATGCCAGTCGCTGCAGGTCCCTTCAACCTGGTTCCTGGGGATCTGGGTCGTTGCAGTACAATAGGAATTTGCATTGAATTAAATCAAGATGGTGCTTTGAAATGGGAAGAGCCATGTCATAAAGTTATTAATAGGAAACACAAGAGAAACGTTCAGTTGTAAACCAGAGGGAGGGTCTTTTAAGCTGTCACGGTTCACAATGGTTGATTTCCACTCGAAGAGCTGTCCTGTCTCAGGTGATTTCCTGCCGGGAACAAGCAAAGCCCCCAGCACAGCCCTCCAGCCAGGAGCTCACCAGAGGGAGGGAGCGGTGAGACCTTGGTAAGCCTGGACACTGGCTAATCCCTTTTGTAAATATCCTCTCAATTACTGTGGTAGGTTGGCAAATTCTTTTTCCTGGAAAGGAGTCATTTCAATAGGATGCTACCTTGGTAAGGACGCTGTTTAACTGATTGAAAACATTTAAAAAAACTTCACATGGATACACATGATTTGAGTTGTACAACTTAGTGTATGGAAAACATGTTCTAAGCTTGAATTCTAACGATTAGAGTTCTGGATTGAAATTTTCACCTGAACTTTCAGAGGCATGAAAAATGTCCTGTTATCATTATGAACAGAAAACTAAATGCATGGCAGTTGGAAACATCACCTTTCTTTGTTCCTTCTAAATCCAATGAGACCCCAGTAAAGGCATTATATGCATATCCTCCAAGGGAGTGAGAGGAAATATCTGAAACCAGAGATGAAAGTAAGGCCACCTATTAAAATTCCACGTTTCAAAACAGTGACATTGTCTCCTTGGCTCCTCTTCGCCCAGGGAGGGTACTCAGAGCAGCAACCGGAAAAAACTAAATAATTGACTTGTCCAAGCCGTTGTAAGGAGAGTTTTTTTGGCAAAGCTATGATACAACCTAGAATTCCTGATTTTTCATTCTGATCAGTAATTTGATAGAAACTAAAAGTTAAAAGAGGAAAACATATATACTCTAATGACATACATGGTCCTTCCAACCTTACGACTTGTTGGCCTTCCATGAAAGATTAAAAACACAGGTTATGTTCCCAGGCCTTGCGGAGGCCCACGGGTTCCCACACAGTTGCTTGCAGGTCTGGTGCTCTTCCTATGGCTGAGACGAGACTGTAAGGGGTCCAGACTATGCAGTCACCATAGCGAGGGGGCGGGAGCAGAAGGGTTACACTTGGTGAAACTCCACAAGCTCTAAGAAGACTTTGGACTTCTTGGGGGAACTAACCAAAGAACGTTTGTTAGTTGGAGAGGTAAAATGTAGTCAAACCACCAAAACGATTATTGTAGGCATTTTCTGTTTGAGGTGCAAGCAAAGAATTTTTATGAAGTAGAAACTAAGTACAATATGTCCCAGATTAAAAAAAAAAGAGAGAGAATTGCAAGGACTGACACAAGGGGCATGTAAAGGATGAACATCAAATTTTAATCTTGAACCTTTTCTCCAGTCTTCAAATTATTAACATGATAAATGGAAATTTAATCATCACCCTATCAATGTGTAACGAGCCTTTGTTACAAAATCTCCAGCTACTATCTCCCCCCAAAACCAATAGAAAAAGCCATACATTATATTATCTAAGTGATCTATTAACAGATGAGATTTTAACCAACTTCATACCAGGAAACTATTAACAGAGGTACTTCAATCACATAGCTTAAAATATGGAGAAAAGACAAGTAAAAAAATTATCTTAACCTGTAGTAGTCTTTTTACTTTTTAAAATTTTTATAAAATACACTAATTTCCCAAAATAAAGAATATTATGACACATTGGTGTCAACTTACACAGATGAAAGCTGATAGCAGCTTTTTTTTTCCTAACTAAAGTTCATCTCACCAAACCTTTATATATTACATGAATATCCAAGTATTTTTTTTAAATTCAACACACAGGAACATAATGTACAGTGTCTTATAAAAAAAATGGTTAATTCAGGAATGATTTTCATTTCAACCACATCGTATATCTTTTTAATACCATGAAACCTCCTGCTGTTGCAAGAAGACTTTTCTGTTCATGTTTCTATTTCCCAGTTGTAATTCTTAAAAGTAAGAAATAAAAAGGTTTTTGTGTTTGTTTGCTCATGAGGAAACTGTGGCAATGATTCCATTCACTCCCAGGCTGTCTTCCTCTTTTTTTTTTTTTTTTTAGGACTACTCAGACCCACGACTGCGTGGCACGGGAATGAAATGGGAAGAGGCCGGTGACATCAAAGGAAAGATATAAAAAGACAGGCTCAGCTGGATCCCGCCACAATTGTAAGGTGTGGGCACCCTCCCTCGTGCCAAGCCTGCCAGGGCTGCGAGGGAACAGTGACGGCGGCCGCCTCCTGGCTCACCCTTGCCATTCCTCCGCAGCTGGAAGCACGATAAAGGCCCATTTTCACTAATGACTTGTGTCACGGCTGATGGATACCGTGGCCAGGGGGAAAGGGAGTGCACTCAGAGACATCGGTCAGTAGTGGCTTTGGGGTCGGGAAAAAAAAAAAAAAAAGAGTACTGTTTTCTTTCCAGCTCCTGCATCGGTCAATTCCGAGCACACACTCACCTCGATGACGGGAAATTGCAACGAAATACACAGACCATGCACAGCAGAAATTACCGTGGGAACCAACCCAGCCACATGCACACGTGGGGAAGGACTCACGATGGGTGTATGTAAACGTTTCACAGTGTTGCTCACAGCCACGACTTCCACACGAGTGCACCACGGACCACCACCACCTCACAGACGCTTCACCGTGTCCTGGGCATGCAGACCACGCAAGGCAAAATGGGCACATGACACTTCACAGCCATTCTCGGACAGGAGTCCCACTTCAGATGTCCCAATGGCCAACCAATGAAATCAAGCTGCTTCTCTTATAAAACTAGATTTCTGAATACATTTTTTTGTTTTGTTTTGTTGTTGTTGTTCAAGGGTTGTGCTTTACTCTTCCTTACTGCTTCATTGATTTCACTCTAGGAAAATTTAAAAAACCCATAAAATTAAATCGAGGCCTAGGTCTTACGGCGATTTCCTGACCAAAACGGAAAGACAAGCCATCGCCAACGACTCTTTTCTTGAGTTTCTGTCCCTTATTGGTACTGATTCAGTTGCACGTTTTGGTTTCCCAAAGAGGAAAACCAAATCAGAGAACTGGCATTTCTGTCTTCAAAAAGCAAAAAAAAAAAAAAAAAAAAAAAAAAAAAAAAGTATCGGTGTAGGAAAGGGGGAGTTCATTCTCTGTTAAAAAGAATCTCTTGCTCTCAACAGGAGAGAATCCAGCTTCTCCTTCGCTATCTTTTCATAAATTAATATCTCCTTAAAACCATAACCCAAAGAATTGATCCATAACGAGAAAAATTCAAGTTTAAAACAGCAAATAAATTAGTTAAGCCTTGTAAACAATTGTCCACTTTAGCTATATATCTTTTTTAAAAACAGTTTCTCTGTGTAGTCAATCAGACAGTACAAGGCACGCCTTCCTCATCCGATCCAGAGGGACAAAACCCGCCCCACGCTCTCACGCCGCCTGCTGGTCTGCATGCGCTGGGGCCCTGGGGTCGCCCGCCTGCCCTCCGCCTAGAAGTCCGCCGATGTGCTCTCCGTGACACCGCGCTGTGCTGCCCTGCGGAGTGACAGGATGGTAGGCCTTCCCGGGGTGTGCGTCTCCTCAGATGTTCTCCACGAAGCTTCCCGGGAAAAGGCCAGTCTTCCCATTGCGTTGCAACGTGCCTTTGAACCAGCCGTCCTCTCGTTTTTTATGAACAAACACAATATCGCCCTCCTTAAGTTCAAGTTCGGCCTCGCTCTGAGGAGGATAGGACACCACCACCCTGTGCCTAGAAAGAGAGAGAGAGAGATTTTAGGGGAGGCCCTTCCAAGCAGTGGCAGGAATGGTATGCACACGCAGAAGGGGAAGCAGCGTGGGCCGGGTGAATGTCTGTAAAGCCCCTCAGAGTGCTCTGTGAAGCAGAGGCTTGGTATTGACGGTCTGGGCATGCTGGTCAGCCCACTATGGATGGGAAATTGCAACGAAATACACAGACCATGCACAGCAGAGATTACCGTGGGTTTATATATGAACGCCTTTATATATGCCCATAGTGGGTTTATATATGAACGCCCTTGACAGAGAGCCTTCTTGTCGCCCTCAAACGTGTATGGCACAGAAGAAAAACCGTACCCCATTTCCCTGGAGGAAATGGCCCAGCCTTCTCTTTTCTCAAGAAGAAAGGAGTGGATTCACTTGACACTGGAGGCGCCGGGGCGCTCTGCTCTGCCCGCCTCGGCCCAGGCTGTGCCGGCCTCCGCGTCATGCTGGAAGCTCCGAGCGGCCAAGCGGGCCTGCCTTCTGGACTGGGGTCTCCACGGCGGCCTCTCTGAGTCCCTGACACTGGGGCTTGGCAGGGGCGAGGCAGCACATCAGAGGAAGCTCACCTGCTTTACACACTCACATTCTCCCTCGGGCAGGTTGTCCTAAGGTCTAGACAGGGAAGGGAAGACTGTGGCCACAAGTTCAGGCCAACACTCTCAGGAGCAAGGCTGACATTGGGATTTCTCTCTTCGTGCAATAACTGTCTGCTTCTCCACAGGCTCCCAACTCCCCTCAGCAGGAAAAGGAGACGTTATCACTTAGAAACCCCAGAAGCCCTACTGATTTAATGTTATCTACCCCATTTCCAGGCTCCTTGGTCCACTTCTGCAAAACGATGGTTAGCAGCCACGGAAGCCAGAAAAGAGGGGTGTGTGTGTGTGTGTGTGTGTGTGTGTGTGTGTGTGTTATGTTCTATATCTTTTTTCTTTGTTTAATCCTCACCCAAGGATATATTTTTTTCCATTGATTTCTAGAGAGAGCAGAAGGAAGGGATGAAGGGGGAGAGAGAAAAACGTAGAAATCAGAGAGACATATTGATTGGTTGCCTCCGGCACGTGCCCCTACCGGGACTGGGGAACCTGCAACCCCAGAACAAGAATTGAACACGCAACCCTTTGGTCCATGGGCCGGCACTTTAACCTCTGAGCCACACCAACCAGCACTATGCTTTATATCCTTTTACCCTCTTTTATTTTTCCAGCATTAATGCTCCTCTTCACACCTCTCCTGCTTTTCCCAACCACAGGGGGAAATGGTGGTACATGGTAGTCAGCCTTCAAGCTGGCCCCAGGAGCCCTGCCTCCTGGTAGTCACAGCTATTGCAGCCTCCTCCAGCCACGATGGTGATACACGGTGTGAGCAATAATACGCCGTGACTTGGGAGGCTAGGTCATAAAAGACACGGGGCTCCTATCTTACTCTTTCCTGGATCATGTGCTCTGGGAAAAAGCAAGCTGCCATGCTGTGATAAAATCCACCACTTCTAGGGAAAGGACCACATAGTGGGTACCTGAGGTCTCTTCCCCAAAACCAAAACTAGCCCGCCTACAGTGATGTGAGCCCAGTCAGGCCGTCAGATGGCTGTAGTTCAGGCTGACATCCGGGGTGTGATCTCGAGAAATATCCTAAGCTAGAGCCACCCGGATAAGCGGCTCCCAACTTCCCAACCCACAGAAACTGTGAGGTAATACACGTTTATTGCTTTAAGCCACTAAGTTTTGGGGGTAGATTATAGGACCCACTCTTGACTGTAAATAAATAATGTTACGGCTTAGCACATGACCAGCAGAACAAATTCTATACACGGCTCCCAAACTCATAAAACCCATCGGAGCTTCGCCCTTTCAGAAGATTGCTAGTCTCACCAATCTCCTACTCATAAGAAACAGAATCTATTCTCGTTAAGAAGGACCACAGGGAGAATCCCAGGCTATTGCTCTCTTAAAAAGGCATCTCTGCAAAGGTCTCGTGGCTGCCCGAACAATTCCAGAGCGACTTTGGGCAACAGAGCAAATTATCCTCCATGACGGAAGCACAGCAAGGAGGCCGGCTTATTGTTTCTCTAAAAAGGTTCAATTCAAACATGGGATGAGGGCAGAGGCATGGCATGGGGCGAGCCCGGGCCTGGAGTCTGACACAGCCAGAAAGGTCATTTGGAGCAGACTGACGTTGGGCCAATCGCCTCGGGTGTCTTGGTCTCCGTTTCCTTGTCTGCAGAGCAGGGCTGTGGTGAGTTAAACAGCTGTTATCACGTAATGTAGTGAGATCACATGTGTGATGCTCACGTAGCTCACACCCCCAGCACGGTCATTCGGCCAAAGCAGGCAGGGGCCTGGCGCTCCTAGGAGATGAAGAATGGACCAGTCGGCAGCTGGCCTCCGCTACACAAGAAACAGACATAACACAGCCTAAAGGAAACCTGCCTGACAATGAGACCAGACAAGCTTTAGAATGGTGGGCTTTAAGGTTTTGGAATTCTTTTTTTTTTTTTTTTTTTTTAAATATATTTTATTGATTTCTTACAGAGAGGAAGGGAGAGAGATAGAGAGCTAGAAATGTCGATGAGAGAGAAACATCGACCAGCTGCCTCTTGCACACCCCCTACTGGGGATGTGCCCGCAACCAATGCACATGCCCCTGACCGGAATCGAACCCAGGACCTTTCAGTCCGCAGACCGACGCTCTACCACTGAGCCAAACTGGCCTCGGCAAGGTTTTGGAATTCTTTCTAAACCTTTACATCGATAAAAGCAACGCCGATACCTTCTTCTCGGACTTATCTGAAGGCAGGGATCCAAATGAGATTTCTCATGTCTGTTGCCAACACGCTAAAAACCCATGTAAAAAGCAATGTAAACGATTGCCATTTGAGGAAAGTTAAAATTTAAGCAAAGCTTTATAATTCTGGGGGGAGGAAAACGTGCACAAGTGACTCAGATCCCGTTCAGAGTAGATGTTTGATGAAATGTGCTCCCCACCAGTTCTGCCTTCAAGGGAAAATGAAACAAAAATAGTTCTCGAAAAACTTGAAGTGAATGAGATGTGTATTTGCATTTTACAAAATGCACTGAACCAGTTTTGTCAACATTTTTTTGAACCAGAACTGCTGCTGGGCTGAGAACATAATCTTCCCGCTCCGTCCCCAGGGGAAGCACATTTTCGCTGCTGAGCTCTAAGCCTCTGGGGGGTAGAAGGAGACACCACGTGCATAATGGAAACTGTGACACAGCCCTGATTGCATGAAGACTCCCAGGTGCAGCAGGCGCAGACTCTCCTCAGACATCGTCCAGCTCTGATTCTGGCCTGGAGCCTTGTGAGGTAGTCTGCATACAGATTTCTATACAGATTTCTAATACAAACTCTTAAAGCCGAATCCTGGGCACAACTGGACGGCCATCTCAGGCACAGAGAGGGTTTGCCAAGTAGAAAGTTTATAGACCAACAAACAGATGTGAGGCACAGCTGTGGCGGCCCTCCCCGTCTGCTGCTACGCCCTGAGCCTCACTTGGATCATGCTTGTCTTCAGTGGGACAGGGCTCTTGGCACGGTCTGAACCTCAGGAGTCAAAGATTTCTTTCTCCCATGACCTCCATGGGACCTGCTGATCCACCTTCAAAATCTGCACCCCGTCCATTCCTCTTGATGGTCATGGCCACCATCGCTTGTGAACAAACTCATTACCTTCCACCTGGTCAAATAACCTACCAGTCCTCTCTGCCTCAAATTTCATCTGGTCTCCATTCCATTCTACACTGGACACATTTATTTCCTTAACTGTCAGCTCCATCTGCAGCTACCTGTCGCTCAAAAATCGTCCCCATCTTCTCAATGCCTGCAAGGTTAATCCTCAGGCCTCCTCTTCCTAGCTGCAGTTACTATTATCTCCATGAACGTACCAAACATCTGTCTAAACCCGAGCATGTCCCCCAAATATGACCTTTACCTCCCCTACTCCGTACCTTGGCTCATGGGTTGTAGTGAGTTACATTGGCGTTAACTCCCTGGGAACTCCCTGTGAGGACCTCTCTGCCTATCGAGACCCAACCAGGCTCTCCAATGCTCCCCTGTGAAACCTTCTCCAGCCCCACGACTGGAAGTAATTTCATGCCTGATCAGATCCCTGAGGCCTCGTGTATGTTTTTTATGGCACTGGGCCCAGTCTACATGGTATTATTGCCATCTACATCCCTATCACATTTAATCTACTAGACGGTAAGCTGCTTGAGGAGAGGTGAGATGATGGCAATTCACTTGTCTCACACTACTTGGCACAGCGCATATGATGATTCTTAATTAGCATGCTGAATGATAGGAAGGAAAGGCCTCATTATACGGCAAAACTGCTTTTTAAAATGAATAAAGCTCCTTCAAAAGGAATGAAATCCTGACACATAGTACACAACAGGGATGAGCCTTGAAATATTACGCTAAGTAAAATAAGCCACGCAGAAAAGGATGATGTCTCCCAATTTCACGCATCCATAGACTCGTCAAGCTCAGAAAGTAGAAGGTGGTTGGTGGGGGCTGGGAGAGGGGGTGGGGGTTAGTGTTTAATGGCGAAACTGTTTAAGATGATGGAAGAGTTCCAGAAATGGATCGTGGCGATAGTTATACAACATCGTGGAAGTACTTAATGCACTGAATTTGAAACGGAAGGAAGGCGTATTTTATGTAAATTTTCTTATTACGATGTTAACAATGAGTGAATGAGGGAATAAAAATCATGGAAAGATTAGGGGAAAATGGTACCGTGGTTGCTGGAAAGAACCTCTGCTCCCACTGAACGGAGCCCTGGGAGGCAGTGTGGCTCACAGACGTGGCCGTGGATGGGCCTCTGGCCCGGTGGCTGGTGGCCCCTGGCTCGGTTTCAGACAACAGTGTCCATGTGGAATGGGAGGAAGAGAAGTCTGTGATGTGAAGAAGTTCCACTGACTTCCCCATGCCCATCTTCCTGGTTTGGGCTGTGGTGTTCTGGCTTCGATCTAAATGGGCACTTGCAATCTTTATTGGTATACGTTTTCCATTTCCTTTACTTTTTCTGGCCTCTCTTGCATACTCTGTAGTTGATACATTTTTTTTTTTGTTGTTTTTGTTTCTAATCTCCCCTGGGACAGCCCAAATTGGCTCTGGGAAGCACCTGCCCATCATCCTGGTCTGAGTGGGTAACCATCCACTGCTTTCTGTTAGTTGCTATAACAATCGAACAGCCAATTAAGTATTTTACTAGCAAAACCATACAAGCTCTCTTTGCAGTTTGCTTGCAGTCCAAGCACATTATGTCCACTGCTTCACCCTGTGGGTTCAATGTCACTGACTCCAATTGATCATGCTGGTTAAGCCGGCTACCTTTCTGTAAATCCAACTCTATCCAATTTGGATGTTTCCAAGCATTTTCATTTAATCCCTGATCAAAGATCACGGGTTCTTTTCTAATTCAGGAGATGGACTTATAGGTATGTGGTTATCAATTCAATTCCTAAACTTAAAAATAAACACAGAGATGACTTGCTGTGTCTCCTTAAGCCTTTTATTTGTGTGTTTTTTAGAAGACAAAATAAAGCTGTCACATATGCTTTCTTTTATTTGCCATCTCTTCTGAAATAATCTAATTTCCACTTTCTGTTGGTAATTTCTGATTACTTTTTCCTCAATTCATCCAAAATAGAGCCCAAAATACCTGCTCTATTTTTTCTGCTGTCATCAATTATACATTTGCTGCCTCTGGGATAGAGAGTTATTTCTTGCTTGTTTCCTTCCGTCTCTTGGGACAAACACAAAAGAATCCTTTGGTTCCTCAGAGAATCCTCTCAGCTGACACCAGGACCCGTCAGCACACCTCCCGGTCCCCTCTTCCTCACTGCGAGACTCTTTTAGTCTCCTATCACGCGGAGGCTTCTTTCTCTGACAGACAGCTCTGGCTGCCCTCCTCACAGTCTTTCCCTCTAGATCAATGGGACACGGTCAGGGTTTGAGAAGGAACTGTACATGTATTCTCATTATAATCTGCAGCTGGATCCTATCTGTGCTGTGCCAATACTATCTATTGAAAAACAGTTCCATGAAATTGTATCAGTAAAAATTCTACCAAGGGAACCACCGGCATTCTGTACTCTGTCAGGGCAGGAGTTGTGGATATTCAGATTGTGAGTCAAGGAATCTAGGGCCCTGAAACTCTTTCTGAACCATACTGGTGGGAAAGTTCATCTTTCCTGCACTTTTGTGCTGCGAGTTTTGAAATATCAAAATGATACAGTTGGCAAAACATTTCATTCCCAATGAATAATAGGATGTTTTCCCCTACTACTTGTTTCCACATATTTTTTCCCTTCGTTGTTACGGCCAGGCAGACCTGAGACTCCAAGTTAAATATCACCGCCATCCTGCTAGGAAAGCAAAGGGGCTGTGAAAAGCGGGTCAGGCTACAGCATTTAATATTCCACTGAACATGTGGGTTATAAAAATATAAACTTGGGCAGAAATCTTCCCCAAAGGCCCCTTTCCTGCTTGTAAAAATGGGAATGGTACTATAAAAAACGGTGCCGAGAATTCCAGAGCGCCTGTGCCCATCTGTCCCATCATCAAAGTCTCCGCACCCCCTTTGCTGATGTGCGTCCCACACTCCCCGAACCGCCATCACCTGTCTGTTCCCCTTTTCAGAGGCACCGAGCAGCGGGAGCCCCGCTGTTCCAAACAGGCTCCGCTCCGAGGAAGGGGCTGGGCCGCAGAAGCCAAGGAGATGGAGGACATCTGGCGACTGAAAAGGATCCCATAAAGGGGGCGGGAGAGCGGTGCCCGGGGCCGGTGCCAAGGGAGAGTCTGGGCAAAGTGAATGGGCACTCAGAACAGTCACACAAACACCACAAACGACAGGAAAAAAGAAGAGAGTGATTCAAGGCATGAAGGGAAAACTGCAGCTCAATGCCTGGGGCTGGGGAGAGGCGGAGCCTTTATAGCCAAAAGAAAGTAAACAAGTCCCTGGACTCCCTCCAAGCACAGCGGCTCCATCCCTGGAAAGCAGAGGGAGGTTGCAGAGAAAGAGGCTACTGTCAGAATCCAGGAGGGCGCGGATTCAGGACAAAAACCCCAAAGCTTCACCAAGAGCACACAGCAGATGAGGGGAAAGACGGGATGATCTCGTTGATGGGCGAAGACGTGTTTTATAAGGATTACCATTATAGAAAGTTATCCCACCTCCCTATAAAAACACGCAATAAGTTGTGTACTTTGTACTTAATGCACATAGGTTGTTTGAAGTTTATACTTTTGCAGTTTATTTTGGTGGGAACAAATGTTCATCTGAAATGCCGAGTTAGGTGCACTGAAGTCATTTGAAAGTGTAACACTTGGATAGTAAGATTTTGGATCCGCAATAGGAAATGCTACCTAAGAGGCAACACCTCCACAAATGAGAAATCTGCTTTGCTTGTGAAATGCAGGTCCACAGGGCCTAACGCTTATAGAAACCATGAATCAGATGACACTCTTTGAAAAAAAAAAATGTTTATATAGTTATGCGCTGTGTGAAAACAGTCCGCTATTTTTAGTGTATTTCATGAGGTTCTCCTGTGGAACCAACAGTGCTTCGTTTTCAGTTCACAGAATCCTAGCAGGTATTTGTGTGATTAAGTACATTTTCTTTCCTAATGCACTCCCAGACCCCCAGGGACGGTATCCAACAGAACTGCTCACATCTGCGATAGTTACTCAAGGCCAGAATCCCTCAAACAGGGCTCACTGCTCGGAGTGTAGCTGAGCCAAGTCATTGGGTTAGAGAAGTGGCGGGTCTCGAGGACAGAGCCACTCTCTTCTGGCTCAGGAAGAATAAAAAGAATCCTCCCAGTTGGCGGAATTCTCCGGTTGCTTTACAAGCAGCAGGTAGTAGTAAAAAAAGGCAAAGGATGACACACTAGGGCGCCGTTGCTGGAGACAGAAGAGAAATAAGAAGAAGGTACAGATTTGAACAAGTCTCCGGTGATTGACAGATTTTTTTTATCCAGGTACCATTCTGGATTGGTTGTCTGGAAAAAATACATAAAAAGAAGGTGGGAGGCCTTCACCCAGGAAAGAAAGATTCACAGGAAGGAAAAGCAGGGACTAGAGTATGTTCCAGCAAGTAGTAAGAGAAAGCCAATGCTTGGTTGTTATTGCATACTTAGTCTAAAAAACACAGAGAGGAGGATGTGGGAAAATATCTTAAACGTCAGGATAAATATTCCAGCGGAAAGCTTGCCACCCATTTCTTAGTTTTCTGCTGGAAAAGCACTGAACTCACCTTTCGCAAACCACAGGCCTCGACTCATTCATGACGGAGCCCAGGGAGGAGCAGGGCTGTCGAGGAGGCGGAGCGATGGGAACTGCAGAGTCCAGGGAGCCAGTTTTTCGATGAAGAACCTCCTGGGCCAGAGCTGCTCCCACAGCCACTGCCTGGGCAGGACCATCTCCATCCATGGGGCAGGAGCCCGCCCTGCCGTGGGCGCCCCCTAGCGGCAGCTCGGGACCCATGGCTCCCTGCAGAGGCAACTCGCTGCTGCCGCCACTTCCACCCCCACCACCACTCAGCTCCACTTCCAGGGTGGGTGAGGCTGGAGGGGACACTCGGGGCTTCCGTTTGGTGGAGGCGCCAGAAAGCAACTTCAACAAACCCTTTCTTTCTTTCTAGAAAGAAAAAAAGAAGAAAGAAAGAAAGTGCATTAGTTGAAAACTGACAGTACCATTGCGTTGTAATCTACAGGGCACTACAACTTCAACGTTTGGTTTGACCTTTTAAGATTATTCCTGTGGCTATTTGGTTATCCATGATCTACCTGTCAATTCTGAGTGGTATTAAACCAACCATTTGCTTCTCTTTCTTCTCCTTTTCTGCCTGCAAGTTTTTACTTGTTTGGGGCATTCCATTGTTCATCACTATCTTCTACTGAGGTTGGATAAGCAGATAAAAAAGATGTAAAACAAACAAACAAACAAAACCTCACCGATTCATCTCTCAGGTGTGGTGAAGGCAGAAGCAGATATTTTTAGGACAAAATGGAGATATCTGATTATGGATTTAATGCCCTGAAATTTGGCCTATCCTGTCTCTGGTTCTTGCATGTTGAATTAAACACAAACCTAATCGCATTTTACTCTCTACCCACAGACTTGACTTCTTATACTTATCATAGTGATGTCTTGATCAGAGTTAAGGGCTAACCTACTTCACACGTGCCATCTTTATAAAATTTAACAAGTCAAAAAGAACAGAAGTCAAACCATTTCTATTGTACAAGTACCTCCTTGTTCAGAAAGCCAAAAAAAAAAAAAAAAAAAAAATCTACAAAAAGTTAAAGCTTCAGTACAATGAAAACCACTGTGTGTCTCTTCTTGCAAGTAAATGTACAAATAAGAATTTTCCCCACCAATAGCCCTCCACAAAAGCTATCTTTTGAATCTGTTTCTTTTGACATCTTTGCTCTTTGCGCCTCTCAGAAAACCAGCTCCCCTTTCATCCCCAAGCCTTAAATGTCAGTGTTCTTTTTTTTTTTTTAAATAAAATACTTTTTGATTGATTTTAGAGAGGAAAGGAGAAGATAGTAAAATCAATGAGAGAAACATCCAGTCGCTACCTCCTGCACGCCCCCTCTATTGGGGACTGAGCACTGTCATGTGCCCTGACCAGAATCGAACCATGACCATTCAGTGCACAGGGCAAAGTTCAACCAACTGAGCCACACCGGCCAGGGCTCAATATTCTTTCTGATGACTAAACATAGGTAATAATCATCATTTTAAATTGTTTTACTAAGATGTCAACTATGTCATAAAATCCTCTGAATGGAAATATGACTTGGAAATAAAACATTTCATTTAGAAGCCATTCTTTAGAAAACTCTATAAACAAGTTGGAATTATTAAGGTACACTAGTAGAAAAATAGAATTATGAGATATAACAATGAGATATATCAATGAGAAATTTTGACGCACAGTATGCGTCGACTCATGGGTCAGAAACAGAGGGAGGGGCAAGGCAGCAGGAGTGCAGTCCATGCCCAGTGCAGGCTGCAGACAAGAAGAGCCAATCCATCGACTGCAGACCCCCCTTTCTTCCCACCCCAGCCAGAGGAAGACGCTTTTGCATTTCTCTTTAAGGTCCAGCCTCAACACACCTTCCTTAGCTATTGCTTCATGTAACTCGCTTCACACTCACTTACTCTATGCGTTCTAGTAAATGAGCCTAGAAAGTTGGATGACCTGCTTGAGGGCAGTGCCTGGAGCTCACACACCTGGGCATCACACCCAATGCCTGCCTGGTACAGAGTCCGGCACCTCCTGAGCTGAGGGGCCAAGACGGCAAGAGCATGAGGCAGGTGGGAGGAAGGGGAAATATGTAGCTCATCCCAGGGCTAAAGAAGGAAGGGGATGTTTCTGGACCATCCAGTGGCGATAAAGATTTCCCTCTACACAATGGCCAATGAAGTGGGCTGATGGAAGCCAGCTGGAGCTGCTTCCACACTTCTTTAAAGAGCCTGAGGTCTTGGGGGTGAGGGGGGTGGGGCGGAATATGGACAGGGAAAGAATACCACTCACTGGCTCCAGATCTAAAGCAGCAGTCGGCCTCTGCGTCCAGCTGTTTCCGCCAGGATGCAGGAAAGCACTCTCTAATCCCAGGACCCCCTCAGACTTACTGAGAACATCAAGTCCATTGATAAACTGCAATCTCAGCAAGCCTCAGCTAAAAATGTTTCTTAAAAGCCCAGCCTGGGCACTCAGAAAAATACCAGTTAACTGAAGGGAGCCCAGGGAGCAGCCTCTAAAGTGATTAAGAAGAAAAATGAGTTGGTTCATCTAAAATGATTAAACACATTAAATACAGATTGCGTTAATGGCTTCTCGGGATGTGTTCCCATCATCAGCCGCTGCCGATGACCCTCGGAGCAGACAGTGGAGGATTAGGGGCTGTCTCGGGTGCGCGGGTAGGGGCTGGTAGTCACACGGCAAAGATGCTGCCCTGCTCTCAGACGCTGTGCTTTTAATGCCATATTCCGACGAGTTCTATGTTAGCAGAACAGTGTGCACATGAAAGAGATCATTTTGCAAACTCAGATACTTATCTCCGGGCGCCTTTGTTTTTTTCAAAACCCAGGGGTAGAAAACTACAGATGAATTAATAAAGACTACATCTCAGCAAAGCATTTTTTTAAAAACATAATGTGAGATGCATAAAAAAGGGGGAGCATATCTTTGAACATAAACTTTAATATTTCTTCTCTTATGGGTTTCCCAAGAAATTATTCATAGATGAAATGTTATGGTCATCATTTTCTCGTCAGAAGATTTGATGACTTAAAATGGCTTTGCCCTAACAGGTTTGGCTCAGTGGATAGAGCATCAGCCTGTAGACTGAAGGGTCTCAGGTTCGATTCCGGTCAAGGGCATGTACCTTGGTTGCCGGCACATCCCCAGGAGCGGGTTTGCAGGAGGCAGCTGATCAATGTTTCTAAATCCCTCTCCCTCTCCCTTCCTCTCTGTAAAAAAATCAATAAAATATATTTTAAAAAAATAATAGTTTCTCAGACAAAAAAAATTAATAATAATGGGGCAGAGGAAAGAACTATTTGGGTCAGAAAATAATCACCAGATAACAGAAAAAATATCTTTTACATATAAAATTAATTTCTGAACATCAACTTAATGTTACATCAACTATTAGTCACATGGCAAAAAATGAGTACAAAATAAAATGCCACCCACAGGTTGAGAACCGCTGCTGTAGAGCCTCAGACCATCGGAAAACGCAGATATTTACATTATGATTCATTAACAGTAGCAAAATTACAGTTATGAAGTAGCAACAAAAATAATTTTATGGTTGGGGGTCACCACAACATGAGAAACTGTATTAAAGGGTCACAGCATTAAAAAGGTTGAGAACCACTGCTCTAGACAGACACCATCATGGCTGTGAAACTGGTGCTCTGTAGAAAAATAAAGCAGGGTCAGGGGACAGAGAATGACTGAATCCCAGCGGTAGGCAGGGCAGCAACGGTGACTCCAATCACTTACGAAAATGAAATGGCAAAGCCCACAGACCATCTCATTTTTTTAAAATATTTTTTTAAATTGATTTCAGAGAGGAAGGGAGAAGACTAGAGAGATAGAAACATCAATGATGAGAGAAAATTATTGACAGGCTACCTCCTGTACACCCCACACTGGGGATTGAGCCTGCAACCTGGGCATATGCCCTGACAGTGAATTGAACCATGACATCCCGGTTCATGGGTCGACACTCAACCACTGAGCCATGCATGCTGGACCAGACCATCTCATTTTTGTCAGTAAAATAAAAACTGGAGAGAAAGGAAGATGATGTGAGCAAAGGGGGATCTATAGGGACTTCAAGGACATGTGTTGAGGATAGGAGAAAATGGGCACTTAAAAACAGCAAAGGTCCTCAAACATTAGCAGACTGATTGAAGAAAACCTGTGTTTAGCTCAAGGGAGAGTCATCAGAAATTTGGGTGGGAGGTCTGAGGCACTGAATGTTAAGACTTCTTGCAAAAACGCTGTCTTTCAGAACAAACAGAGGATGTGGCAGAGAACCAACACCACTCCTGCTAACTCCTATGGGAAGAAGTGTCAACGTCAGGGAAGACTCTGAAGCATCCCCAGACTAGGAAGGCAGGGGGTGGACATGGAAGCACTTGGGGTGGAAGGGGGCAGTAGAGGTGGTTTCTTCTCTTTCTGATGTGAGGGTTAAAACTGTTAAATTAATTTAGTGGCCATTAGACTGAGGTGCTTCTAAGGCCTGAGCAGCCTGCAGTAGCCAACTAAAACCTAAATCTGTCAATACCTCAAGGTTAAGAAATCAAAACCTAAGGACACCAATCACACCAATAGGCTTTCCGAATAAGGCAACTTGCTCAAACTGTAGCCAATCAAGCAATTTCCTGGCGTTGCTTCCTGTCTTCTCTAAACAAGTCTTGCTCTTGACTCTTGGTGAGTGCTCCTGACCAACCTCTGGTTGGGCGCTGCCTGATTTTAATAGATATTTGCTCAAATAAACTCTTAAATTTGTAAAATATGCCCCAGTTTATCTTTTCACAGAATTTAGAGAGTATAAAAACAGCTAATTACATCATTGATGCTGAAGAAAATTATTTTATTTTCTAAATGAAGGCTTACTATACCAAAATAATATTTCTTACACTTAGGTATCTAGGGGGTAAAACACTTATACACAATAATATTAATGACTTTCTTTGAAATCTTGGATTATATTTAGGTTTTCTGTTTGGATTTTCTTTAACTTCTAAATAAATATGTATAATTAAAATTATTATAAGAAAACATAGTAAAATACATACACACACACTCACATACATACACATACATACATACATACATACACATGAGCATCTCGTAAGGATTGGCAAACACATTATCCTGGAGACTAGCTGACCACATAATGAAACCTTTAAACAGAATATGAAGTTAGAAAAATGTCCAGATGAAGCTGCTAAACTGTAAACTGCAAAAGATAATAGAAATCTCACAGAAAGAACAGCAGCAATGGCAGAAAGGCCCGGGATTCCGACCAGAAATAACTGAGATGATGTTTGGGAAGATATTACAGAACTTCAGATGCCTACTTATCAAAGCACAGAAAACAGGCACCAGGCCAAATTAGCTAGAGACTTAAGTCAAGGACAAAAAGACTGTGACAGAGTGTTTTCAAATAAAATACTGTTCAAAGGAACAGCCCAGCTGGGGACAGAGCTGCCATGGCTCCATGTGCGTGTGGACAAGGTCCTCACCAGCACACCAGCCATGGCAGAGCTTTCGTACAGAGGAAAGAAGAGGGCAATTGACACGCTGTCATTTGGGGGACACACCGACATTGCCTGGAGAGTGGAAGTCAGTGGCTGATCTTGAATTGACAAAAGGAGGAAGAAATAAGGAGGGAATGGTCAAATGCCTATACATTTGCTGGAAGTTTCAACTGAAACTAGAATTTCTGATACACTTTGTCCTTGACATTCTGATTAGTTTCACAGAAAGTTGAACAAACTGCAACTTGGGCTCTAATTCTGATAAACAAATGATGGGGGTGGGGGTGGGGAGGAGCACACGGAAGCAGCCAGGTAGGGGGTGAGAGCTATGGCTGGTGAAGCAGAAACATTGAGAACTTAGAGGTAAGCACTCAAAGAGAAGTTCCCTATAGTAAAATTCGAACACTGAAGTTTAAAAGAACTGATTTTAAAAGTTCAAAGAAAATATATGCTTGACCTGAAACTCAAAAGGAAAGATACTTCAAGAGGGAGGGCTCTCCAGAATACAATTCTAACTATACAATTGCAAATCATCCCAGCAGATGAAAATGGAGAGCCATCTAACGGTACTGATGTGATCCCCCAGGGGGCAGCCTAATGAGCTCAAATTTGTAAAGGACTGCTACAAAAAGATCAAGAGAAGGGTCCATATGAAAGAACATTCGCATGGTCCATATGGGCTTAAAATTGCAAAAATGCTAAAGACAAAAAAAAAGGGGGGGGGGAAGGCTACATTGCTTAAAAGTTATGTTTGAACTGAGAACAAGAAAGACACAGACCTGCTGTTGGGGACAGATGGTGGTTCTCAGAAGATAAGAAAGACAAGGATAATCTCCAGACGGGAAAGGAAGAACAAACCTTGCTAAGAGGGAAATGGATAAAGAGATCAAATGACTACTCTTGGCAGGTTGAATTTACCCCAGAGCACTAAGAAAATTAACACCTGAAATGCTACCAATAATCTTTGATAGATCCTGGTGGACCTGTGATTGGGTCAACCCATCAGGCCAAAGAAGAGCATGTGTGTAGTCCTAATTTTCAAAAAGAAAACAACGATGTATTTTGCAGACTATCTGGAAAATTCTAGAATAGTGTTTTAAATGGAAGGTCTACTCAGGAACGGAAATGAGACTCTGAGGGCTAGACTCCTCCAGGACATGCTTGCGAACAACAAGTAGCGCCAACACGACGGGGCCCCTGGGGGACTGTTTGGGCGGGAGGACGTAAAAGACGCTTGGGTCTCGATGGAGGTTTGAAAAGTTCTTCCACAATATCCTGGAGGACAGGATGGAGAAAAGTGGTCTGAATGACACACTCTGGTCATGTTAATCGTGGACTCAATGAACTTCCATCAACCAGAAAAAGTCTCTGTGGGAACATTACATGAGGAGGTAGATTTAGGAAGGGAAAACTTGTAACCTGTGACACGAGGAACAGAGGAAAAAACTTCAAGAATATAGGCTCAAAAGAAAAGATGACCCTGAAATACTTTAAGACATCATATAAGGAAGGAAATCAATAATTTCTCCATAGCATCTCAAAAAAGAAAATGGCATGGACACTCGGTATCTAGAGCACTCAGGGTCAATATGGTATCCAAACGGGCCAGTGGCCATCTGCTGAGGATGGGTGCTCAACAGATTAACCCAAGTAAGGTCCTTATCGGTTTATCACAAACTTTGGGATAAAAAATCAGGTCCGGAAATCAAGGAGTTGGCAGGGCTGCGTTCCTTCTGGGGCTCTATGGGGTAGTCTATTTCCTTGCTTTTTCCAGCTTCTTGTAGCTCCTTGCATTTCTTGGCTTGTGAGCTCTTCCCTTGGAATCACCTGATCTCTGCTTCTAGACCACTTCTCTTCTGGCCCTGATCCTCCTGCCTCCCCTTCATGCAGACCCTTGTGATTACATACATCCTACCCTGGTAATCCAGGATAATCCCTTTAAACCTTTACGTTAACCTCACCTGTAAAATTCCTTTTGCTATGGAGGGAAATAGTCTCAAATTCCAGGGAGTAGGACATGGCCATCTTTCGGGAGCCATTATTCTGTCTAGCACAGGCCCTCCTAAGCTTCAGAGATTCAGCAAATTCTCTTCTGGGAGGTCAGGGGCTGAAGAGTCAAGGGCCTAGAGACACACTGTTCCAAACTTCTTAAAATCCAAACTATGCAATTATTCTTTTAAAGGTATTGACCAAGTTGAACATGTCCGCTTGAGTACAAGTTTAATGTAGTTAATTATAAACGCTGGACAGATACCAATCTTTTTCAAAAACGCTCATGTTAACCCTACGATTAAATATTAACTTTTTAGTAAAGCCGTAACATTTATTTCCTTATAAAGCCCTATTTACAGGCTTACCTAACCTTTTAAATAGAGCAGCATCCATTACCACCGACCAGGTGGCTGTTTATAATCACCTGAGAGCTTCCTAGAATTGGGCTTTTTAAAAGGAGAAATGCATGACACACTGAGGGAAAGGTCATGAACACAATGCAGTTCTCCAGACTTTGTTATCGCTCGTCTCTTTCTGTTCACAGTTAATCACCACCAACTCCCCTTGACTCCAACCACCTGTCTCCAAACCCAACAATAGGTCAGTCTTCCAAACACAGCCTCCCGTGTATATTTTCTTTGAAATCCGGCCCCAAATGAGAGACTTATAAAAAGATCAAAGGATTTATAAAAACAATTTCCCCCTAAATTTCAAGTCAAGAGAAACACTATTCATGCTGATGATAATCAAGTACACTAGTGGTATAAAAAATAAACAAATCCACAAATAACACTTCTCATCAACAGTTTCATCCCCTTTGTATGTTAAATATCTATCACCTATCAATCTGCACATATATAGCTATTGCAGCACTGCTAACAAAAAGCAAACTGACTTGGGCAGGAAGAATTAAGGACAGCAAGATGATGACAGGATGAGGAAAGGAAAAGGAAATTCCTCCATGAGATGTAAGCCACAGGTGGAGAAGCAACAAAGTCTTACCCACTGGGATCTCCCCAGCACCTGGTACAGGGCCTGGCTACTAACAGGTGCTGAAATGCAGAGAAACACGAATCTAACAACTGGCACAGGAGCACGCACAGATAACCCCTTGAAGGAATGTTGAACGGGTCCCTTCATTAGTAGAAATGATGGGACACATCACCAGCAGAGAAACAGGATGTTGGCCTTACTTTACTGTCTTTGTCTGGTTTGGCTGCTGAGCTGTTTCCACAAGCCAATGAAGCGCCGTCAGGAGAGGCGGGAAGTCCAGAGAGAATGGCCATTATCTGGCTGCTGGGCTCGGTGTCCACGGAGGCAGAGGTGATGCTGGGGGAGGTGATCGAAGCGGCCGCAGCACAGGCTAAGGGGGCGCCGGCTCGGCCCATACTGACGGTAGCCATGGGAGGCGGAGGCTGTTGGGAGGCCAAAGGGTGATGGGGCAGGCCCACAGACACAGGGCCCAGCCCGCTGGCGTTCTGTACTTGGATGGGCGTCACCGCTGCCGTGGGGCGTTCTTGGTTGTGTGCCAAAACTAGTAAATGACAGCAGGGAACACGGTAAGATTCAACGTTCCAATAAATGCTGCTCATCAAAATGTGAGTCATTTCATTGCATCCGTCCGTAATGAAAGGTTGCTATTGCGTCCTTACAATAAACAAGGGATGTGTGGTGGTTTAAAAGCACTTAATCTTAACGGGGTCCTGGGATGTATTTCCCTTCCAGATTGGAGTCTGTTGAGTGCCTAGGAGCTTAGCTGTAACCCCGAGGCCCTTCAGTTAGAGAAAGAAGACCTTTCCACAGAATGAGAGACTGGAGCCAGCATCTGTTGGTGGTCTACCCTGTCAAATGGCACTGGCCTCTGGTCCTTTTTAAAATTATTCTCTTTTCTTATTAACCATTTTTTTTTGTTTTTGTTTTTCCCCCATAGAAAAATCACAAGTTTACTTCCATTCTTACCCAAGACTCTTGGTAGGTATTCAGTGTTATAGAAAAAAGAAACCGATTTAAGGTCCCACTGGGCCTAAAATAGACTTGTCACTAAATTCATAAAAAAATCATCTGCACACTTAGCTGCAGTAGATGTGCAGTGAGATTTGAGATCATGTGGTCCTGGCTACAGAAGTCCTATTTTCATATACTGCTGACATTCTTAAAATCAGCCTAGTCTCTTTCAGGCTTTGGATCTACAGATCAGGGAAGGCTTGGCCAAAGTCAGCAGATGTAAAGTGCCACTGACTGGACTCTGTCTACTTCTATTTCCTGTTATTTGTTATCTTACTTCACATCTGCTTTTGTCAACATCCGTCATGGAAGATCTGACACTAGGCAGATGACCCTTTTCCTGATGCTTCCCAGTCCGGTTTCCTCCTTACCTGTCCTCACAGCATTGCGGGCCTGGTTGACTGTCATCTGCCCCGTCATGTTCAACAAGACCTTAGCCTGAGGACTCGTGTGGATGTGAGCTGCTGACACCACAGCTGTGGGGACCACACTGGGACTCCCGGCCATTCCATTTCCCTGGAGCTTCTGGGCAGGCCCTCCTGCCGTGGAGGGACTGACCATGGTCACCCCCCGACTTGTTTGACCAGCTGTAGACACAGGAACTTTAGCTTGGGAAGCATTTGTCATCGCCCTGCCGAGACAGAAAAACAGATAGCCCCATCCATTAGCAAAGTGGGGGACAGAACAATGAAAAGGGGGAGGGGGGGGGAGACTAAAGCTTTATGACAAAACATTTTAAAAAATGAATGGGATTATTTTTACGAAGTGTAAAAATAGCAAATTCAAACTCACAATGGCCCTGAGGCAGAGAAAGGTCTTGAAATGTACTCTGAGTCACAGAAAACCATGCACTGTATTCTGCTCAAGAACATCCAGTTACTGGGCTCAGCGTCCCACACCAAGGCCGAACCCCTCCACTGACTTGAGGCCCTGGATTCTCCTACTTCTGCTGCCCAAGAAGCCAGGCTTGTGACCTCCATGACAATCACATGCCCATGGCCCTGCCTATGTTTTCTGCCCTTCTCCTACTTGCCCCCAGCCCCACGTCACCCAAGGCTTGTGTACATGCGTGTGGGTGTACGTACACACATACACATACTCTCGGAATGTCCTCTCCGGCTTCTCTTGACTAACCTTAATCTCGTTTATTTCAAGATCCAGCAGAAATCCTATCATTTCAAGAAGCCTTGCTGAAGACTTTACCATTATTTTTCATGTGGATTTTTCTCTCCTACAACTCTGATTACAAAAATGAGTGTATTGTTTTTTAAAAAATGTCTTATTAAGTATTCCTGACTCAGTCAAAGTTTCTTGAAGACGGGGCCAGTGTGCAATGGCTCTTTTCCATTTCTCCAGGATTTGTAGTTACAGTGGCACTGCCAGCTCTAAACAAATACTTATTGGTTGAATTTAATTAAATTAGGTTTGGCATAGTTTTGTGTAATGTTTTTTTAATATTCTAAGTTCATTTAAACATCAATTCTATTTATAGTAACTTTCTCCTAAGTAGACTATTTCATTAACTTGAACGTTCTCATTATGTACCATGAGGAGTAACAAAGAATTAACTCTAAGTAAGCAACTCTCCAGAGACTTTAAATAATTTGTTTCTTGAGTCTTATGAAAATATTTTCCTCTATTAGCTTAATATTTTGGTTTTGGTTCATTTTACTTCCCTAGTTGTTTCTATGGTTTGTTGTGGGGATTTTGTGTGTGTGTGTGTGTGTGTGTTTCCCACCAAGAAGGGCCTATCTGGATTTACCTTCTGGATCCTGAATGCAGACTTTAACATACACAGAAAAGAAGGTCTATATCGATTAAAAATCTGCAAGTCAAATGAAAGCTAGCACCATCTGCAACCACAGTGATTTATATTTGATTAGGAGTCTGGCCAACCTACAAGTCAAGGCTAACAGCTGACAAACATGTCAATTCATTAAGCCATTTATTCAGAATCAGAGGGTTTAAGGAATGACTTATCACAGTTAAACCTGGACCATTTAAGAGCCCGGTGGCCAGAAACTGAGGCTCCCCGAATGTCACTACCATTAAGGGCATTCCATTCAGTTTCCAAGTCTACTTTCCTCAGTGACCAGATGATGGGCTTATCTTGAAATGAAATAAAGGACATGTTTGTATATCTAACAGCCCCGACTTCCCATTACCCTGTAACAGGGCTTCTCCACCTTCGAGACATCTGGGGCCAGATAATTCCCTTCTGAGGGAGGTGTCCTGTGCACTGCAGGACCTTCGGCAGCACTAGGTGCCAGCAACAACCGCTCTTCTCCCTCCTCACCCTCCATAATGCCAATCAAGTGTGGGTTCACACGTTGCCAAATTCCCCCAGGGAGGCAAAATCACCTTTAGTTAAGAAGGATAGAGACTCTCGACCACAGCTAAGGAATTTCATTTCTGACTGGTATTACAGAAGTTAATTGCCAGAATTCAAAGGCAATCAGGCTCTTAGAACTCAGAGGCGGACCACCTGGGTCTGAGCACTTCATCACTATGGGATTTCAGACCAGTTATGTAATCTTTTGGTGCCTCCATTTCCTCATCTAGCAAGAGGGGATGATAACAAAAACCACCACAACGAGTTGTTCAAGGACTGGGGAGTTAACGTGTGCAACGCACTTAGAAATCTGCCTGCCTGGCGCATAGCAAGCATTATAGAAACATGGGAGTATTAGGGAAATAGCTTTTGTTTAGATGAAACATTATGCTCTTCCAAGCAGCAAAGTATTGAAAATGGTCTTCTACATGTTACTTAAAGCAAATAACTTAAAACCCAGTGCATTTATTCGTGGAAACCTACAATTTCACATAGAGCCATGTGAAAAGTAAGCCAAGTATTTTAGAGTTAGAAGGGATCATAGCAAGCACAGATACGTGTTTTTTTTTGTTTTGTTTTTTAATGTTGGCTGTGTAACAGGCAATTATAATGTGAGAAGGAATCTGGACAGGCTGAGCGCCACGGAGGAGAACAAAGCTTCTCTGTTTGGGACTCAGTGAACCGCTTGTTCAAAGCCATACCTTGTGACGGGTGCCACGTAATTACCAGGGAAAACCCCGATCTTGCTGGTATGCATCGATGTCCCTTTGAACCAGCCATCCTGGCAACGTTCAAACACTAGAAACATCTCCCCTTTCCTCAGCTCCAGCTCGTCCTCTTTCCGGGGAGTGTATGGGTAGATAGCAACATACCTGGAATAGAAAGAATATCCGATTTCGGGCTGAGTAACTACCAAAACTCAGAGGCTCAAAGCTCATCGTTGGGGTGAAGTCCTGAATATCTTGCACAAATGAAAACAGAAAGTGCAGTCCTTACACCTGTCAGCAGTATTGGTACTTATCCGCTGACAGAGGTTTTGCCATCGACATTGAAAAGGCAGAGTCCCCCGTTTCCCCTCCGGCCCCAAAAGAAAAAGAAAGGCAGAGGCCTTCCTGATGAAGAACTGCCGCCAGCCTGGTCCCCCCAGCGTGAAGGTGACCACCCCGCCAAATGGTACTTGCCGGGTGTGAAAGAATCAGGCAGCTTCCCAGAGTGCCTACCCTGCTGCTGGGGATTAGGTGCCCGCTGGGAAAACTGAGCTCTTCACATGGCACTTGTTAGGCTTGGGGAGGAGCCCCGAAGGTGGACAGATGGTGTGAAACCCCACCGTGAGGCCCAGCATTCGGCCTTCCACACACAGGCAGAACCCAGAGGCTGGGGCTGCACCTGCTTTTGTGTGCTCGGCCGGGAACAGGACTGAGATGGGAACAGTCAAAGGGAAATAAAAGTCCAGATCACAGGGCGTACAGAAGAGCCCCACCATGCAAGGTGACTGTGCCACCACCACAGAGAAACTGGGTAGGCTATGCCAACAACTGTTCTTACCAGGGCCAACCTGGTCCACGTATAAACTCACACAATACAAGACCCACGAAAACCACGCTGTATTTTGCCATGAATGAACTCTGAATGAGGTGACTAGACTTTTCTGGATTCTAGGGACTTACAGCTTTTCACATGCATACTACAAGCAGACCTAGTTTGTATGGGGTGCCTTCTCATTCCTTAGTATTCCATTGAAAACAAGACAAAAGGCTCAAAAGGCATCTCCGTACACATAATAACATTACGAAGGAGCAAACATCTGTCTCCCTAAACTCTGAAAGGCCCTCCCTCCGCAGGACGGCTGCCTAGCGAGCGCCTGTATCAGGCCCATTTTGTTTCGGCCGTCTCCTCATTATATGCATGACTGGGTAGAAGTTTGCAGAACACAAACCACTTTGGAAGCCATAAGCCTGTCAGCAGCTCATATCAGAAAGGTGTTTCTCTGCCTCTGCTCTTTGGGCTGAGCTTGAAACGCACGTTTAAGCGGCAATAAATGACACCCTCACTTACACGCTGGGGCGAGTCTGAGGTCGTAAATGTGCAATCTGGTCAGTGGGCCCCGCGGTGGGCCTCGGTCCCGTTCCAGCAGCAGCAGCAGCGCCCGGAGGTGTGGAGACCAGGAGAGGGGGTGGGGGCAGAGGAGGGTTCATAGTCTGGTATGAGAAAGAGAGGGGAACAAAATGTTTATTTACATGTTTTATGGAAGGGGGGAAGGAAAAGGAATCAGAAATCCATGGGAAAAGACTTCAATGGAATCCAAACAGAACAGAACCAGCAAGCTACCTAAGATGAAAGCCTCCTTAAAACTAAATAAACAAACCCTCCCCTCCTCACCCCGCCATTGCAAGACTCCAATCTTGTTCTCCTTTAAGATCTTAAAGCCATGGCAATTTTTTTCCAGCAAACAGGTAAGTAATCCCGCTTGGGGGGAGGGAAAGAAGAAAAAAAAAAACGAAACAAAACAATAACACAAAAACACCACACGAAACAACGGTATGTAATTTTAAGATGAATAAGACTTTTAAGTATAAGACTTGGCCAAGCATCCAAATGCCTTTCAAAGGGACAGCTATAATGTCTCACGGCTTGCTGGGAATTAATTTGTGATTGTTTCTGTAACCTGAAACTTAAAACACAACGCAAAACAATAGGGCTATACTATATCGCAAGCCGTGCCCTTCAGAAGAAAATTCCCTTTGATGCCCGGGTCTCCACAAAGCCCAAACAATAGCAAGCCGCAATCACTGGGCCGTTGTTGCTACTTTTTGCTTATTCTTTTCTTAACTCTGCCAGCTTTTGAAATTTAGGACTATCAAGGCTGGTAATCTTTAACAAGTACACCAGTGAAAAGCTGCTGGTTCTTTTATGGGCACAGGCTAATGGGGCTCTGCCTACAGGATTCCATGCCTTTTGAAAATCAATGGAGCAATTGTTACCTTCTGATCCACACACCCCGGATAACTCTTTAGGGTCTGTACACTGAAACTCCTGGGAACACAGGCACAGAGAGACCCGCCTGCACCCTCCCCGAATCTTTGAGCCACTCGATGTAAAAACCGAATCCAAGGAGAAAGGAGGAGAGAAGAATGTAACCTGTGAAAGCACAGATGGCTTAGACACATCAGCATATTAATGAGAAGAATCCAATGACTTCTAAACATAGATCCTAACAGTCATTGCGTGTCTATTTTTATGAAGTAAAAATGTGAATCTCACCCACAACACTGACTGCATCTCCCTATTAAAGTACATAGCTCCACAAACATAATAAACGGAGTGGAACAGTTTTCCAATTTTTAGACATGCGTGTTGCAACTGTCTCACACACTCACATTTCTTTCTTGTTTTTTTTTTTTTTTTTGCTAGCGTGACTTTCTGGAAGGATTTTTCCCACAGAGCAGCTGAAGGTGGTGCAGAGCAGCCAGGGCAGAAATCAATACGGCACGGAGCTGCTTCCACAGTGCTCACCCGGGCAAGGCCCAGGGCGGCTCAGAGAGTCAGAGCTTCCTGGACGTTCTTTACGCTCGCCCTAGGAACGAGGGCAGCATTCAGATTCTGTCACAGCTTTAGAACTGGCACAGACTTGGGCTCAGAGCCTTCAAACCCTTTAACCCGGAGAAGGACAATCATCTGTTCCATTTCATCTCCTCCCAGTGACAACACGGACAGAAGGAATGCTAAACCTTTGTAAGATGCTCAGCAAATGTGACCTGGGCAGTGACACACCGGTGGCTTGACAGGTGAGGTAACAAGTCCAGACTGCACAGCCACTAACATATTACTGGAGATTATAAAATTACTACTTAGCTGGTTTCCATTTAAACCCTTCTAAACCCAATCTCAGAACAGCATGGCTGTGGCCTCGAGGCAGAAGACAAATGGCACCTGGGTGACAGGAGCCCTGCGATCTGGCTCCTAGGAATTCCTGAGCAGAGTGCGGAAGGCACAGAACCAAACGGCTCCACTTCTCACTCCCTGAGAACTCCATCTTCAAGAGGAAAAGAAATGAAAATTGCTTGTTATATTTTAACTTATTAAAACAGAGGTGGGCCTTCACCAGTTTGGCTCAGTGGATAGAGCGTCAGCCTTCGGACCGAAGGGTCCCAGGTTCGATTCCGGTCAAGGGTATGTACCTGATCAATGTTTCTCTTTCATCGATGTTTCTAACTCTATCTCCCTCTCCCCTCCTCTCTGTAAAAAATCAAATATATTAAAAAATAAAAATTAAAAATAAAAGAGAGGGGATATTAAATTGGTCCTAAGAAGAAGGAGGCAAGGACATGGACAAGTCTGATCAAAATATACATCACATTTTGTGAATAAAAATGTAAAACTAGCTCACCCCTTGTAGTTAATAAGTAAACAAATGTTTCATGCATGTTACTTTTACAAAGAGTAAACAGTAAGCATTTAAAATATGGATAAAAGGGGATATTTTAAAAGACCCCAAAGATTGTGCCTGAAAGAGACAATATTTAAAAAAAAAAAAAAATTGGACAGGGTTTCTCCCAGTGCTGGGTTACCCATCTTTGGGGACATGTGCATCTGTGAGTGCATGATATGTGTTCCTGGGTATAGCAGCAGACAGACAAAGGCCAAGAGGGAGAGTCTGATTAAAATCAGATTCCTAGATGTTGCTCAGCCCTGCGGGGCTGGTAAAATGATAGGACTCTGGCGAGCCCAGGGCTGTGACAGACGAGGAAGTTCTGTGGGTTGCTTTATAAACAACCTCCACTGAAATAATCTGGTGATGTGGAAGTTCAAAAGGTAACCCACTGTGTGTTGTGCTTCGGGCAGTTTGCTATCCTGCAAGACCTGGAATGTCTACAGCGCAAACCACAGCCTTTCCCTCACCTGGAGCCGACCCGCAGACTGGCCCGTCATTTCACAGCCCGGCTGGCGGCCGCAGAGGCCAACAGCACTCTCCCCCAGGAGGAAGACACCAACGTGTCCACGGCCCTGCCAGGAGCACAGGCGACACTTTGCTAATAATACGCTGTTAGCGTACCGCTGTACAGAACCAGGTACCACAGAAAATGCCATGTTCACCAGATGCTGCCTGGGTCACTTCACAGGAGCTTCCCACGTGTTCATCCCATGCAGCTTTACGGAAACTCAACAAGTCCGTGTGACCGAGGTAAAGTTGTCCATCGCGATGGCCCAGGCCACAGAAATAGGGATGCAGAACACGCAACGTTGTTCTGACATGTGTTAAAAATGAGCTCCCTGTTTCTGTAGATCCAGACCTTCCGTTGGCCAGTACGAGGTCATGATCTGAGGCCAGAATGACTACTTCTGAACAACACTTAGCTCAAATACAGGCCTTCGTGGTCAGCTACTGTAAACTGGTCGTATTTTGAGTGTCCAGGTTCCTTCCCACAACTCTCTGATCTTGAAAGACGACGAAGTTATATATGGTAGAAGCATGGTTGTTGGGGGAGGAAAAACACAGATTCTAACCCAGGCTCAGCCATATAAGGCAGCCCTCGATTTCCCCCTTTGGTAGAGTGAGCACCAAAAAAAAAGCGCCCTCTCTCAGACTGGACTGCAGGCCACTGACTAGCCACATTTGCTACTGGACACCATGCTTGAAAAGTTCAATTACTGGGTGTGCAACCCCTTCTCTTGGATGTTCTCTCCTCCTCTTGCCCTTTCATGAAACTAGCCCAGACAGTGTTTACATGATCTGGATTTGGATAAGAACAGAGGGCAAGGACCATTAAGTCTTTTTATTTCTTTTTCTTTTGTTTTGGGTTTAATGTATACAGCAACCAGTAAAATCACCTGTCCAGCCCTGACCCATGTGATCAGTGGGTAGAGTGTTGGCCCATGTGAAGGGTCATGGGTTCAATTTCCAGTCAAGGAATGCAGGTTGATCCCATGCCCAATCAGGGTGCATGTGGGAGGCAACCAATCGATGTGTCTCTCTCACATCGATGTCTCTCTTTCTCCTCCCCTCTCCCCTCTCTCCTTCCCCTTCCCTCCCTTCCTTCCACTTTATAAATCAATGGGAAAAATATCCTCAGGTGAAGATTAAAAAAAAAAAAAAATCTGTCCAGTGAGCTAAATACAGATAGGACTCCAAACTTCAGTAAGGAAGTTATTCTCATCAGGATTGACACTGAAATAAGACCCAGTATCAAAATCTGGACACTTATAATTAAGTACTGAAATGATATCTCTTCTCTTTTTTGTAGCTTCATACTTTAATTCTAACCTCCATTAAAAGAAATATTTCTTATTTTTTTATTTTTATTGAATTTATTGGGGGGGACACGTTGGTTAACAAAATTATATAGGTTTTAGATATACAATTGTATAATACATCATCTTTATATTGTATTGTGTGTACCCCATCCAAAGTCAGTTCTCCTTCCATCACCATTTTTCCCCCTTTTGCTCTCTTCTTATCCACCCCCCTTTTCCCTCTGCTAATCACTGTTGTGTCTACGAGGATTGTGGATTTTTTTGCTTAATCCCTTCACCTTTTCCATCCAGCCCCCCAAACCGTCCCCTCTGACAACTGTAAGTCTATTCTTTTTATCTATGAGTCTGTTTCTATTTTGCTTGTTAGTTTATTTTGTTCATTAGATTTCACTTGTCTATCTCTGACAGACTTATTTCACTTAGTAGAATGCTCTCCAGGCCCATCCATGCTGTCACAAAAGGCAAGATTTCCTTCTTTTTTTATAGCCAAGTGGTATTCCATTGTGTAAATGTACTACAGCTTTTTACTCATCTACTCATGGACACCTGAGCTGCTTCCAAATCTTAACTATTATAAATAACACTGCAATGAACCCAGGGGTTTAAACGGGGGCAAAGACTTGCCTACAAAGCGCTTTGCACTGGAGTTTTAGCTATAAGGTTAATGGACAATGGAGGGTTCATTTTCTTTCCAACTGTACCTTACTGGATGCATCTCCCTCACACACCTCCCAACATGAAAAAGTGACCGAAGGACAGACTTCTGGATCCCCTGGGCAAATACCACTGAATATCTCCCAGTCTCATAATTGTTTCTTTAAATCTGATTTTTAGTCAACCCGCTTTCAACCCCACACACGGACCTCTCTGCACAGCCTGTCTGTGGACCGGACACAGACGCAGGGGCACCGGCTGGTGATGCAATAGGCCCAGCTACTGCTGGGCACGCGCCCGCCAGCCAACCGTGTTACCGATTTCAGCAGCATCGCCATCTGCACACAGCAGTGTGTGTACAATTATTTAAGTATTTTACCTTACTTTTTATAGTAATGGGTAGGAAGTAGAAAGGTGAACGTGCTGATACTAGTGATTAAAAAAATAATAATAACTTAGGTGTCAGAATCCAATAAAATTAAGATGAAGATGAAAAGGAGTGAGTCCTGCGTCTCAGGTGGACGTTCACTGGAATTAAACCAGTCAATTGTGGGTACAGCTCTGAAGAAAAACAATGAAGAATCTATTTAAAAATGCTAGAAGCCAATGCTGAGAAGATTATGTCTAAAGGGGAAGGCAGAATTAAGAACTAGAAAAAAATCTCTTGGGGAATGGAATTTCGCTCACAAATTGTGTGTTTGTTGTTCTGCAGTTGGTCTATAAGAAGAGATACCTGTACTAGTTAATTGACTTTGTATAAATTACATAAGGTCTCCAGGCGTTAATACATAGACCCGTAAGGCGGCCTTGTAATTAGACCTAGCTTGGGTGCGCTGCCTTTCCTGTGCCGGGAGCACCACATTAGCTCAGAAATGGCAGCTACTGTTGTGATTCGTGAGACGGGGAAGTTCGAGACGGCTTGCCTTACTCATCTCTGTGCTGCCGGCACTGGGCTCGGCAGACAGAGATAACAAATCCCCCGTGAGTGTTTCGCCGGTGAGAAAACATGCTGTGCCTCCATCCCTTAGAACAACGAGCAATGGATCAAAGGCCTCAGTGTCTGAGATGCTGGAGTCTTTTTCTGTTGCTATGACGGTGTTGGCCACATCCAACTGCTCATCCTGAGGTCTGCAACTCCTGCCAACTCCAAAGGCTCTCCTTCTTCCTCTCAAACTGCCAGGGTGGCAGGCCCATCCCTTCACTTCCAGAGGCCTTCCCTGATCCTGTCGACTGCAGTAAATTCTGGACTATAATGAATTAACTACATATCGGCTCATCTGACACCATTTACATTCTATTTGCTTTTTTAAACATATTTTTGTTGATTTGTGAGAGGAAGGGAGAGGGAGAGATAGAAAGGTAGAAACATCAATGATGAGAATTATTAATCGGCTACCTCCTGCATGCCCCCTACTGGAGACTGAGACCATAACCTGCCCGGAATCAAACCATGACCTCCTGGTTGACATGTTGACCTTCAACCACTGTCGATCTTCAACCACTGGGACATACCAGCAAGGCTAATGTTGTATCTTTTAACCGTGCGCGCGCGCGTGTGTACACACGCACGCGTGTGTCTGTGTAAGTAAAATAAAAAATAGGGTATAACACATTTTTGGAATGTAATCTGTTTATAAGTTGGCTATGGTCTATATTTGGCTTTTAATTACCTGGGCACCCTGTGACATCTTACAGCTAAACTCCTCTCAGCCAGCACAGAGGGTCAGGGAGTATGAATCACGCGTTTAAAAGCTCCCCTGCCACTGCACAGAAGGTACATGGCTAAGAGCTTCATCCTCCTCCCCTCTAAAAATTAGTTGGAAAAAACCCTCACAGCTAATAATAGAGTAATGTCTGAATCAGATAGATGTAATAGCAGTTTGTTCCTAAGATTAGCTATTTAACATTTTAACAGTTCCTTGTGAAATGTATGAGACAATATGCTCATAACTTCCTTTGGCATAGAAGATTAAAAATGATCAACTCGTAGACAAAGCTTTCATTCTCTACTGTAGTGGGGGCATTGATTACCTGTAAACCCACGCCAGGAAAAGCATGGTTTCCTCCCTACCAGGCTGCACACTATTGCTGCGATACTGCTCAAAGTCTTGGGAAATACCTCAAATTTCAAAAAAGAATACCCATGATGAAGGAGAAATGCAGAGGGTACCTGCTCCTGAGAGTCTTTTCCACTTAAACCCAACATTTTAAATGCAAAATATTTCTGCCAACCTGCCAGGGGCTTTGAGACCTAGACATCTCCTGGGATGACAGATATGTCTGCTTATAATTCGTTTTTCATTAAGTGAAAGTGGCACAGTAGACTACCATTTAATAAACGTTCGTCTTGCGTAACATGCAAGCTTTCTCCTGGAATCCCAGGATGAAATCATTGAATGTGTATTAATTTTTGTATATTCATGCTCTCTTGTGACCTGTCCCCCTTTACTGGCCTGACAGTGCACCTCCAGCTAAGAGCTACTGGCCATTTCGTGCATGGTAAAAATGTTAACCCACAAGACGGGAGACTCAGCTCTGTGTCTTTTCCACTAATTAACTTTCTGAAGATCAGGAAAATCAGCTTTTTTTCCCCTGTTAAGAAATCAATTTAGAGGCCCAGCCAGTGTGGCTCTGTGATCCTATGAACCAGGAGGTCACAGTTCAATCCCTGGTCAGGGCACATGTCCAAGTTGCAGGCTCTATCCCCAGTGTGGGATATATCGCGATCAACGATTCTCTCTCATCATTGATGTTTCTATCTCTCCCTCTCCCTTCCTCTCTCTGTAATAAATAAAAAAACATTAAAAAAAAGAAAAAAAAAGAAAAAAAAAGAAAAAAAGAAATCAAGTAAGAATTTTTCCATGCAAAGCAGTCACCTGAAATGGGAATACCAACTGGTTGTTCAAGTGTTGGGGTGGGAAGGGAAGGGGGGAAAAGAGGGTCCTCTCCGGGGGTGAGAGGGCAGGATGATTATAGTACTTGGCTCCAATCAAAACATCAAGTGTGCCGGGACCGGTTTGGCTCGATAGAGCATCGGCCTGCGGACTGAAAGGTCCCGGGTTCGATTCCCGTCAAGGGCATGTACCTTGGTTGCAGGCACATCCCCAGTGCGGGGTGTGCAGGAGGCAGCTGGTCAAGTTTCTCTCTTATCGACATTTCTAACTCTTTGTCCCTCTCAATTCCTCTCTGTGTAAAATCAATAAAAAACAAACAAACAAAAAAAGCCACTCAAGTGCTACCAGAATCCCAGGGAAAACCCATGTTGGTAAGTTAACTGAATTTCACCATCTCCCCAGATGGATTAATGCAACTCACCCTCTCAATCCAAACACTTATACTGTCAAGGAAACTATAATGTACTGGGAACATTAAAAAAACAACAACAAAACACCCTCGTACTATAATCTTTAACCAGATATTTAAAAAAAATTATTTTACTTATATTTTAATCTTTTGCTGTTAATCCTCATCCAAGGATAGTTTTTCCACTGATGTTTAGAGAGAGTGAAACATTGCTTGCCTCCCGTATGCATCCCGATCGAACCTGCACACTAGGTATGTGTGCCCTGACTGGAATCGAACTGGCAACCTTTTTGGTGCATGGAATGACGCTCCAATTAATGGAGCCACCTAGCCAGGGCATAACCAGAACATTAACTTCTATGTAAAAACAAGAGCATGCTTAACTAGATAAAACCTTTTCAGAAGTCTAAATCAAGCTAGGTAATAACTGCATTTATTTATATCTAACCTTGTTTCAAAGTTAGTTTTCAATGACTTATAAAATGTATCAAGACAAACATAAAAGAAGAAAAATAGGGCAAAAGGAAAGTGAAAACAGTAAAACTAGACGGAGCCAAGTTTGACTAATAACGTGGTGAGGTCCCAGCTAGAGAAGGGTACCAATTTGGCTCTAAGCACTCTAGCAGAGGGAAATGGAATCTTTACAACATATATAACATCCGCAACCTAAGAATAAACCAGCTGCTTAGAAGCCTTACTATTTCTGGTACGAAGAGTAGAGAAAACTCAATGACAAAATGAACCAGGCCCTCCATGGCACTCTTAGAGCAAACCAGTGGCACACGTCACAGGCCCACCTTGAAACAGTCGAAGAGGTCCATAACCAGATCAATAACAGTCACCCCTTTTTCTCTACATTCTAGGTTTTACCTCTCCGAAGCAGGTACTGTAAGTCTCCTTTTGCAGGTAGGAACACGGAGGCTAAAGACGCCACATAACTTTTCTTGCTCATAAAACAGTAAGTAGCTCAACTGGGCTTCCAACCCCGGCCTGTGCCCTGGCCACCGGGCCACACCATTTCTCTGAAAGCATCACCACCAGCTGAGCTTGGGCAAAGCAATTTACAGGGGTGGGGTTCCCTAGGATCATCTGATTTAGTGACCTTTTCTGTCCTCATTCAACTCCGCACTGGCAGAAAGTCTGAAAGTATAAGCCAAAGCATTGGCCGGGGTGAGAGATGTCTCCCTGCCATTCAATTGCCTGTAATTTCTGGAAACAGGGATTTAACAACTGTGTTTCTGCTACCTGAGGTTGTACTTGCTTGTATCGTCTCCAGAGTGATCTTCGTCTTTGTGTCTCTCTCCCTTGGCTGCCCTCATCCTTCCTATTAATTTCCCCCGTTAAGGATGTTTTAAAGCAATAAGTGTTTAGATTCTGTCTGCAGGATGCTATGCTTGCAGAAAGAAAATCAAACGTAACGTAAGGGCTCTTCCAAGGCAGCAGGGACCTCTGGGCAGCCATGGCTATGGTCATACCACAGAAGACAAGAAACGAAAAGGTGAATCGTACATGCAGGCATTTAAAATCGACTTGTCACGTGACTCAAGAAAACCATTTAGCTAGCTTCCTCAGAATTTCTATTAATGTGTTTTTGTAAGAAGTTAAGCAAGCTCTAGAAACTCAAAAGAATGAAGGCTAAGCCTTCAGGAAATCAGGATGAACCTTGATGAAAATTAAGACAATTTTAAGGAGTTCTAATAGTTTCAGGCCACTGATCCTCACTGTTAAGAATTTGGACAGAGTGTAGGCAAGAGATTCTATTTTGTGTGTGTGTGTGTGTGTGTGTGTGTGTGTGTGTGTGTGTGAGATTAACAGAGATAACAGATAAAACATAAGAGCCACACCCCACCTAGCATGTGTCATGTAAACTGCAGGTGCTCGGAGGTGGAGTGTGCCAGGTGAAAGTAACTGATCCCTAAGAGAGAAACAGACGGGAGAGACTATACTCACCCCAAGTGCAGCTGTGTAGGGGACATCGGATGGGAATGTGAACGAAGGGCCAGTTGTCACGGGGCTGCTTGGGGGTGGGGTCACAATTAACCCGGTGGTGCTTATATGAACCTGCATAGAAAAAAAAGTTAATAAGAAGACTATATTTAAAACATTTATTTTTTCATTGATTTCAGAGCAGGAGAGAGAGATAGAAACATCAATGATGAGAGGGGATCATTGGTCGGCTGCCTCCTGCACGCTCCCAGCTGGGGATCAAGCCTGCAACCCTATCTTGTGCCTTGACCGGGAATCCGGTTCGTATAGGCCAAAGCTCAACCACTGAGCAAAAGGCTATATTTAATACAATAGATTATTCCAGCTAAACCTCGGAAGGCAGAAACCCTTTCAGTTTTTTCAACCCAAATTTACTGCTTACCTAATTTGTATGAAGCCACAAGGAAGTCGCATGATCAACACTGGCCACTGCCATGTTTTACATACAGAACTCAACTACGGCTGCCTTTCACAGGAGCACGCTCCCTCACCTGGGATGTTACTGCCAACCCAACTGGCCTTTCAGACGGTCAGGCCTTAGGTCCACCAGCCTCCTGGCAATTCCCCTCAAGATCCTGTCGGGTTGGGTTGTGGCTGAATACTCACCTGCCTATCAATATGTTACATTTATGGGAAAGGCCTAAGCTCTTCTGCTATTTTCAGAGTCGCTTTCATGATTTCTACCGTTCAGTGGGGACACATAATGAAAATGCAGCTTCCCATAGACATGCCTACAGCAGACAATCCCTGAGAAAACCTTTATGGGAATGATGTCAAGTCAAATCCCCTGTTTTCACAGTGTCTTATCCATGCTACCACCTCAGGTTAATTTACTAGAAAGGAGTGGAGTGACTCAGGTCAGTTCATTGCCTGCGTTTGGTTACTGGATCACGTTCAGTCAAGTTGCACACAGGTCTGACTGCAGAATGCAACACTGTGACTGGATGGTGCAGACCTGGGGACGGGGGCTCCTGCAGAAACTAGGTTTTGCCTTCACTATTGAACCAGTTAACCACAATATTCTGAATTTAATTAAAAAAGATCTGCCGCTTCATCCATAGACGCGTATGGTGTACAAATGGTTAAAGAAATGTTCTTGGCTGCTGGTACCTTGTCTTCTCCTGGAAACAATGCTGTACCAAACACGCCAGGCCTTTTGTAATAAAAACTTAATCCCAAACATACTTTTGTCAATTCCCATAAATTGAGAGATTATCAGGACAAAGAAAAGCTTCGAGATTAGTTAGTTCCCGGAGGGCCTGCAGGAACGTTCAGTGTCCCACTGGGCCGAGGCCGGGAGAATCAGCATCCCAGCATCGAATTATCTTCACCAATAAATCTGTACATGGCACCCATGTCCTTTGAAAACCACCTCAGTGCCTGTCAGCTCAGATTTTGGTTGACCGAAGCAGATTCAAGGGGTGCCACTAACAAGAGTTTCTCTTCAAACCCTCACTTTCTCTCTTCTGTGAATCAAAGTCTATTTCAAATCAATTTGTAATGGGAAGCACAGTGGTGTTTCATTCTTCGAATAAAACCGCGCGGCCTGCCGCCACTTCATCCAATAAATCTTTTTATACGCACATTCCCAGGACATCTGCAAGTGGGCGCCACACAGAAGATGGGAGTCTTTCTTAGGAAATGCAATGACGCTCACTTCAAAGTGCGCGCCAGTATGCAGGACAGCCGAAAACCCGCCCAAAATACAGCTTCCTGGGCCTGACCCTACCACTATCTAAAAAGGACCTCACGATGGACTGACGTTTCCGTAAAAGCCCCAGACTGGGAGTCAGGATAATTAGCTGCTAATAAACTCATGATCTAGGACACGTAAGGCACTTCGGGTCTCTGGACCCCGTGACAAGCTGGACAGAGGTTCCCTAAGGTCTCTGGCAGCAACCGTAGGAGTGAAGCACCGAATTCGAGAGACTCTTGCCAGCCTCCGTTCAACATCCTAGCACTGGAGCAAAGGAAAAGGGAATGGTCCCCCCAAAATGACTGAAAGCAGGAGAAAAGTGGCTGAGGGTGTGCGTCCCCTGCCTCGGGACAACCTGACTGGATGCTGTCCTCATCCTTTGCTCAGGGAACCTCAGATCAGTCTCTCTACTGGAAAGGGCTCTGCAGAGAGGAAAGAGGGGGAGAGAGCAAAAAGGAAACAAATGGGTAAATTTTCTTGCCTCCTCCGGAGCCACTGCAACATGCCACGAAAACTCTCTCTTATGAATCACTCCTCCAGCTGGCAGAGGCCAAAATGTACCCTGGTTGTGGCCAGAGGAGCAGACAAAACGTCTGGGTTGCTTGTGGCATCGCATGTTTTTACAGGTGTCAGTCACGGACATCTGTGCACATCTGTTCTGAGGACCCACCTGGACAGCAGGGCCCATACACAATCTGTCAACTCAAATACTGGGAAGGGCAGCCCTCACTCCTTAGCCGCCAAGTAAAACAGGAAGTGAGCCCTTTGCTCCTCCCTTCAGTTCACTGCCCATCCTGCTGCCTGGCATTTGGAATTTGCCATCCAGAAACAGGAGGACAAGTACCTACCACATGGTGAAAAGGTGAGCTAGAAAACCCCATCGCTCCAGCACCGAATGTGGGTGAGATCACAACACTCACTTCTTTAGGCCTCTTACTTCAGATTTTTAAATAAATGAAACCAAACCTAATTAAGGAAAAGCAAGACAGACATATCAGGCCAATGGAAGGAGACATATTTGGCCACGGGCCTCAGTCAACTCCATTGTTGAGGTCCTTTTCTGGGGAGGAGAGACGGAGACGGCTATTGTAAATGGCCACCTGTGCCTCTCGTGCGCCGTTTTCCCATCTCCACTCATCTCCCCGGCAGGAGAGCGTTTGCTGGTCCCACGGGCTACCCGTACTCATCGCTCAGTTGTGGACTGGGGTTCCCTCCCATGTACACAGCACCCAGACAGGACTGTTTTCTGTAAACCTAGGCAGGAGGAACCAGGCGGCACTTCAAACACCTCCCATCCTCTTCCAGACATAACTTCGCCCCAGGCCACACGCTACCACTGGAAACAGGACGGACTGGAACGAGGAAAGAGTAGGGAATGGCTTAAGGGAAAACTGCTTTCAGGGAACAGAGGACCAGCCTTGTGTCCTAGGCTGCTCACACCAAAACAACAGCCGCTCTCCCTTTATCGTCAGCGAGAGGGGAGCTCACACCCGACTGCCATGTTCGCTAGCAAACACTTAAACGCAGTGTTATCTTCCTTTCTCTTCTAATTTCCTCTATTGCCAGGATTACTGTCTATTCTTTTAAAGCAATCCCCATGGTGAGCTGCCATTATACTTAGCGAACACTTATCTTTTATTTCAAGTAAACATCGCTGTGAAAATGTTGCTTGGTCACACAATAAAAAAACACACTCAAATGATCCTGTTTTCTATTAGTGAATGGCCACCTTGACTAGCCTCCTCCCTCAGAACCTCATTCAAAATCCTCCGTTTGGAATCCCTCCACAGGAACCTCAGTTGGTACTAGGTGCTCTGATTTGGTCTGTTTTTTAGACAGCTAGTTACATGTAAAATAGCACATAGCTCTCTACCCATTGTTCAAGTGACTCATTCATTCAACAAGTAGTTATTGCGGGCTTATTGTATGTCTGCCATTTGGAACGTATCAGTGAACAAAACAAAGACCTCTGCCCTTATCACCTCATGTTCCAGTCCCGTGTGTGTGTGTGTGTGTGTGTGTGTGTGTGTGTGTATGTATGTCCTATTTCCCTTATAAGATCAAAAGTTTCATGGCCCTACTACCTAAAACACAAAACATAATTCCATTCAGAGAATGAAAGCATTTATCTCACAACCTACAGTGTGAATCTAAAGGAGCAAGGTCAAATAAATGAGTCTGAGAGAAAATAATTTTTAGTAGTATTATCAAGGAATACCAAAGTGTTGTAAATATTTATTCTGTGGTCCAAAACAGATACTTATTAAACTGTGTAGGTTTCTTGAGGATAAGGACTATATGTTTGTTGGCTTTTTTTGAATTTTAATTTATTCATTTTGAGAGAGCAAGAGAGACATTGATTATTCCAGTTATTATGCATTCATTGGTTGAACTTTGGTGTATCGAGATGATGCTCTAACTGACCATGGCTGCTGGCTTCTTTCTCCTTCTTCCCTTCTTCCCTTCCTTCCTTCCTTCCCTCTCTCCCTTCCTTTCTCTCCCTCTTCTCCCTCCCTCCCTTCCTCTCCCCCCCCTCCCTCTCTCCCTCCCCCCTCTCTCTCTCCTTTTTCCCTTTAAGGAAAGACAATTTATTTTTATGTGTTTTTTTGTTTTTTTAAATCACAGCTATAAATACTATGGAGTAGAAGATAAAATCTGCGTACATTTTGTAAATAAAACATGAGACTTTAAAGACATTTCTCCCACTTGTGGCAGGCTACTTTGTCCAGGCTCTCTGGACTTCGGTTGAAAAGAATACAGCTATCATCTAACTGGATGACTACAGCAGGGCACAGCGGGGCTCATGCTGCAGTCCAGAATTAAGCCTAAAACGGGAAAGTCCTGCATCTTATTTTGTTTCGTACACGGAGTTCCACGAAGAATCTACAATAAGGCACCCAGCAAAGGTTTGTCAAATGATTAAACCAATATTCCCATCATCTTGAGCCTTTTTATTAACACAAGAATAATATGTAGCTACTTTTTAGACGGTCCAAAGTCTTGATGAATTAATGAGCTTTTAAAAAAATGCTAGGCCAATTTCTACCTTAAATGTTTCTTTATGTCCTTTTTCTAGAACTCTAAGAATCCCAAATACCAAAATAAGTCACACAGATGGAGGCAACTGCAAGCTTCTTGAGTTTCAACCACAGCATCTTCAGTTTGGATGGAGATAAACGTTTTGGTTGGCAAGAACTCCCAAAGCAGCTTTCTGTAAAACTGAGTGCTTAGTGAGACTGATAAGAATTATTTAATTTATCTTATAGTTTCAGATCTTTCCTTTGAAAATGCCTGTGTCGCTCTGGGTGGAATATGCTCAAGTCATGTCTCCCTTCTCCATTTTTTCACCGGCAAAACGAGAAAGGCTTTGCTCCCCAGGAGAGCTACCACCTTCCAAAGGCTACACCACACAAGATTTCCTGGCTGGTGAGCACGCTGGTTCGTGACTGGATCACTCTGTGGCCGACCCCTTCTCCCGCCTTCTGGGTGACCTACCTGAGAGGGGGCGCTGCAGGAGAGCCCGGACAGCTCGCTGATGCGCGCGGCAGCTGTGGGGTTGCTGGAGCTGATGAGGACAGGGGGACTGATCTCCATGGAGTGGCGGTTCTGGGACGCCTGGGAGGACTTGTTGGCCATGGTGAGGGACGTGAAGGAGTGCCGCTTTTTGGTGTTTTTCTTGGTGTCGGAGTGCTTTGAGGCAGTGCTGCCCTGAGCTGCTGCCGAGGGGCCTTCTCCAGCATCAGCTCCTGGCCCAGGAGGCTTATCCCACTCTATCAGCTGCTTAGCGGCTGAGTTAAACTGCAAACCAACAAATTAGTTCCAGTTAGGCAATTCTCAAGGACTCACTGACATTTATTTTCAACATGCTTTTTAAAAATCCTCACCCGAGGATACATTTATTGATCTGAGAGGGAGAGGGGAAGGAAGAGGGAGAGGGAGAAATACTGATATGAGAGAGAAACATCAATTGGTCACTTCCCGTACGTGACCCAACCAAAAATCAAACCTGAAAGCTAGGTATGTGCCCTGACTTGGAATTAAACCCAAAGTCTTTTGATGTTCAGGATGATGCTCCAACCAACTGAGCCACCAGGCCAGGGTTCTTTTCAACACATTTTCATCTAAAATTTAACATCACCACTTTGAAGTTTGCATATGCAAAGTGAGTATATATTTTTTCCATGTGAGATATTTTTTTCTTTCAATATTGGGATGCTAAATCAAGAAGAAATGGTTCAGCCCTAACCGCTTTGGCTCAGTAGATAGAGAGTAAGCCTATGGACTGAAAGATCCCAAGTTTAATTCCGGTCAAGGGCATGTACTTTGGTTGTGGGCACATCCCCAGTAGGAGGTGTGCATGAGGCAGCCGACTGATGTTTCTCTCATCAATGTTTCTAACTCTCTATCCTTCTCTCTTCCTCTCTGTGAAAAAGTCAATAAAATATTTTTTTTTTTTTTAAAGAAGAAACGGTTCAATGCAAGACTGATAAGGTTAAGATATATTTTTTTCCAAAAATCTTCAGAATTTTTAAAATTGCCATTAACAGATAAAGACTTATTTTAGCTCACTGATGAAATTTAGAGAAGAGCAATTAGAAAGGGTATATTTGTCCAACTGATGACTCTATTGCCCAGCAATGGCTGGGGGTTTGCTGGAAGCACAACTGAACATCCAAAGGGGCAGTTTTTGGGCTTGGTGGAAATGAGCGAGACAATGAAGAATGAAACCAGAGATGTTAACTCATCTACTTCCACATAAATTTGGAGGAGCCTCACAAAATGGTTGGTAAAAACTCCTGATATGTATTTTTTTTTTCACATCATCGTCTCAGTTATTAAATTTTAAATCGTAAGAGGGTAAAACATGAGATTCACATCCTGTTGGCGAGCTACCTCGCTGCATTTGACAAGTTGCCTGGGTGTGAAGGAAGTGATGGCCCAATGGGAGGAAAGCTGTGCACGGGGCTGATAACACCAGCGAGAAAGGAGGGAACCGAAGGGTTTTGATTTCCCTGAGGTAAAATATGTTCCGGGAAAGCTCCAGTGAAAACAAGCTGCATGTAACTTACCCAGATAATAGAATAATGGGAAAACACCGCATATAATTTAACTCTCATGAAACACAGAGATAAAAAAAATAGACTTTTTAAAGGTCATTTAGGTAATAGGAAAAGTAACAGAGCCTTTCCCACCTCCGCACTGCCTGCTCAGCACTTCACAAATACCTTTAGGTTAACCAGCATCACCAAATGCTATTTTTCACCCACCTAACTGGTTAGGACCATGTCTTTTCATCCTGTTGATGCGAATGTCCTACGAGCCGGTCAGCATTTAATTAACAGTGAACTTGCTCTGGCACAAGTGGCTGCTCACAAAGCTGTGTTAACTGCAGCTCAACACGCCGTGCTTCTATAGACGATTGCAAATTGATGAACAGTTTGTCCCTGGTTTCCCCCAAGGACTCGAATTCACGAGGCCTGTCTGATCTGTAAGTAGTAGGGCACATCTTTTTCAAACATAAGCAGACCTTTCCTTCACTTATGAGACTTCTTCCACGTGACAGCCTGGAACAGCAGGCAGGAATGCCACGGTACCATCTCTCAATGCCGGGGGCCCCACGGCAAGAGAAAGAAGCCACGTCTCATGGTGCTACGTGTTTAGGGATGAAGAAGTGAGGTACGTTTGAAGGGTAGTCTTACAATAGCAGTGCGATGGCGTTCGACCAGGAGATCCAGAATTTACCAGTCCCACCTTAGTTTAGCCATCTCACCTTCTGGGTGGTCTCCGAGACAATCAAATACCTCAAGGAAGCAATGTAATGTCTTATCTTTGTGGTGGGGATTGCCCAAACCTTGGTGTGGAGTGCTAATGAACCTCAGCAAGCCATGTGGTGGTTGGGTCCTCATTCCTACACAAGGAGGAGTCTGAAATCTAAGCAAGACATAAGAGCTACTCCATTCCCCTCATCCCAAACTCATCACCCCAGAGAGATGGCCAGCCACCCGGCAATGCCAGAGGACAGAGTCAGAGAAAGCCTTCTTCCAGTGTAAGCTCATTTGGTCCCTAAGGCATGAATCCTCAAAAGCATGACCTAACCAGTGTGCTAACACCCACTGATCAGCTCAGCAGCACTTCTGTTGCACTGGATAGAAACGGGAAGGGACTGAGTCAACTTCCTCCTCATTGAGGCCACAAAGATGACTAGAGAAAGCTATTCCATCTGCTTGGTATCGTGACTGAATTCATTCTGAGTCAAACCATTGGCTCCTATAGCAGGTTCTGTATTGGAAAAGTCTGAGATGTTACCAGAGTCTAGTTATGGTTATACCTATCGATAGCCAAGTGCCAGTTAGAGTTAACATTGTCCTGATATTTCATAGGCTGTGCTCTCATAAAAACATCTGAGAATTAATTATTGTTCCCTATTTTTCCTAATGCTTTTCTCAATAGAAAAAAAACAAAACAAAACTTGCCATGTGGCTTTTTCTATATCATATATTTTCTATTACAACTACATTTTGAGCACCCGCTATGTGCCAGATAACGTGCTAGGTGCCGGAGAGCTACAGATGCAGAGAAATGATCCCTGACCTTAGGAGTTTATAAACAGACAAATAAACAGAACACAAATGCGCTCCATAATTTCCTACGTCTGGCTTCTTTCATACAACAACATGTTTGTTCCCTCCTCATCCGCCCATCCCCAACCCAGGTTTATCCATACTGCTCCATGAAACAGTGATTCTTTTTAACTGCTGTGTAATATTTCATTGTGTGGATATACACACAATGAAATATTACAGTTTATCCACCCTACTGTTGATTTATATTTAGGTTCCCCTTCCCTCCCCTCCTTTCTTCTCTCCTTCCCTTTTCTTTCTTCTCCCCCCTCCCATTCCCATCTTCCTCCCTCCCTCCCTCCCTCCCTCCCTCCCTCCCTCCCTCCCTCCCTCCCTCCCTCCCTCCCTCCCTATAGATTTTGGTCATTAACTGCAATGCTGCCATGAATCCTCTTGTACATGTCTTTTTGGTGGATACTGAGTATATGTTCAGAAGTGGAACTGCTGGGCCATAGGGTTGGCATGTTTAGAAAAACACAGTTTATGTGCACAAACATGTGTATGCAGGTGGATACACAGTCTGATGCAACCAGCAAATTGCAGGCAGAAGACCACAGTTCTAGGCCCAGCCATTAACTTTGTGATCGCTCTTGCTGGCAGCTTCCTCATCTATGAACTAAGGAAGTTGGAGCCAGTGATCTTTTGTCTCTTTTCGCTCCTCACACTGATAGTGATCTCACTTTCAACAGCGATCACTTTCCCATTTCATCCCTCTCAATTTCTATTCCTCTAAATCGCCTAGTATAGTTTTCCTGCATTTCCCTTTCACACGTGGATGTTAATATTTGTTAGCAGAATGTTGTCGTATTTTAAAAGTACTTTAGAGTTCTTCTAAAGCAGCAGAGGTTAGTAGTAAGGATAGTATTTGCTGCCTTAAAAGTTGCAAAGAACATCATAAAGTGAGGTCTATTTGGTAGAGGCATTAAGTAAATCAGGCGGAAGCCTAAAGAGGCTTTTGTTGTAAGTTTGACTTAACCTGGAGTAACAACAGGAAAGCAAGGACCTCACAGGTTTTAATAGGATTTTGTTAAAGTTCATTTGTGAATGTTTAAGCTCAGTAGCCTAGCCTTCCCATGACATTTATCTAGCCATGACCTTTAGTTTAGGAGTGCACTCATCACCTGCAGAATAAATGTATACACTAACATACCTTCTTCCAAACACCTGGTAAGGAATATCTGATAAGACTTAGATTGGATACAAGGTAAAATTCAGCACACAGGTGTGAAAACCATGGTCTAGCTGGATGTGTTGATCTTATCACTTGGCAAATCTTAAAATTTAGAAAGAATTCATCTCTGAGATTATCAAAAGTATACATGAACATGAAAAAGAAAATAATGACAAAATAATGACAACCACAAGGCAGCTTAAGAAATACCAAGATAATTTTTGTGTATGTGGCTGTCCTCTTTGCTAAAGAGAATATGGCCTTTTTTAACAATTGGGACTTACATTTTTTAAAAGGGGAACAAAAATTTTAATGCAAACTAACTTGAATATTGACTATTTTATATGACGCTCTAGAGATGAACCAGTCTTTAGTTTTTGAACACTAGAGAATACAAATACACTAGAGTTCCCAGAACCTAACAGTTTTTCAATAAAAGGCAAATAAGGATTTGAAAAAACATATTATAAATGTAATATATTTCCTACATGGATGCTGTTAAATATCCATCTACTCCACTAATCTTAACAGAACAACATTACTATCCTCGCCTCTAACAGTATCTCGTGAGCACCTTTTCACATCAACAGACACAGGTTGACAGTCTGCTGTCCCGCAGTGCACACATGTCATCATGTAATATAGCCTGGCAAGTCTGGGCAAGCAGATCTTCAGGGAAAACTTCTAAATTGAGATGCCATAATGAAAAAAGATTGATAAATTTGGCTTATAAATAAACGTGTATGAATAGCCGACACATATTTTTATTTGAAATTGTTATATTGAAGTGTAGATGTAGGTCATTTTTTTTTTTTGAAGGATTCTGTCATATTGAACTAAAAAAAAAGGTCAATTTTCATCACCTCCCCAAAGTGTATAAAAAGGCCTGTTTCCTATATTGTTAATGGTATTAAGTGTTATCATTAATTTTAAAACTTCTATTAGTTGAAGAGGTAAGAAAACTGTTTTCACTTGAATTTCTCCAATTACTAATGAGATTAAATGTC